CGGAATTCCGTCTTTGGTTCAATAACCATAAAAACAATCAGAAACAAGAACAACAATTTTTAACTGTCGCTGTACACTTCAACCAACCATTTCATAGCGTCGGTGACATCAGATGCGTGCTTTTAGTGTCTTCATTCAACAGCCGGGAAGAAAGACGCATATCGGACTTGAAATTTATTTTCAAAGTAAGTTTATGTATGCCAATTCTGTCTCAAATAAAGTTCTTCTTTCATGACTTATGCGTAAGAAGTCGACAGTGTTTGAAACTAAGGGAAATTAAGTTTAATTATCGATATCTTTCTGGCGTGTGAGACTGTAAAAAAAAATTACAACGACTTAGCACTGAAATTGTCTTCACAGAACAATTATCAAACTGTAGACCCAATCAGATGCCAGCCAACGTGAAAAAACAAACTTCAACCAACTCTAAACGTTAATCTTCCTCCAAATTGTCACGAGCAGACTGAATATTATGTATTTCAGTTTGGGCTTTTTCTGTCCGTGGTAAAACGAAAATATACATATTAGGGAAGAACTTCATCAAACATTTGACACCCAGTGCAGGCTATACAAAAAGTTTTTCATATGTGCGTGAAGAGTAATGGGTATCGATGAAGAAAGTGGAAGTGGCGGGCCGGGTTCAATTTTCACCCTAATCTAGATGCATTCATCTTTTGTATCAATTCCCTTTGAAGGAGTGAACAAGGATTTGGGTTTACGCAGAATGTATCATTTTCCGCAAGGAAACCCTCTCGCCCACAATATACCTCGGGAGAGAAATTCCCATCTCTTTCTTTATTCCTCGTATCGTTGAAAAAGAACACAAGCCTGCTGGAATATTCCTACATTAAAATCTTTCGCTTCATGCTTCAATTCACTCAAAAGGTTAATATATAAGAAATATCAATTTTATTGACAATATTAGTATCATCTTCTTGGCTTTTTATTCTCCAAATTTTATTACTCTGCCTATTATATATAAGAAGCAGACATATGGACCAACTTTCATTTATATATATATATATATATATATATATATATATATATGTGTGTGTGTGTGTGTGAAGAAATATAGTCTTAAGGTGTGCTATATTTATGGGATAAAGTGCTCGATATCAGATATAGAGCGTGTTTAAATATAAAAGTGAACATAGAAGTCAACACTTAGAGGCGACAGTCTGTTTTCATGCTAGATGCAATCGTCAGGCCTAAAGATTGCGTCTAGTATGAAATAGACTGTCGCCTGTAAGTGTTGACTTCTATGTTCACTGTATATATATATATATATATATATATATATATATATATATATATATATATATAATGCAACATGCACATATTAATATTTTTTATTCATCTCATATTCACATTATATTTTTTCCTATTTTGTTTTGTTGATAATTTTGAAATTGATGTCAAAAGTTAACTGCAAATATATATTAATAATAATAATATTTTTCTATTTATCATATATTCACATTATAATATTTTTTTCCTATTTTATTTCGTTGGTAAGTTTTAAATTAACGTCAAACGTTAACTGCAAAAGATATCAATCGGTGTTTTTTTTTAATTAAATACAATATGCCTATAAATGTTAATTTATTCTTCCTTTTCTTCTTTCCACATTTTTTCCTACCACCCCTGCTCCCCCAACATCTACTTTCTTATATGTTGTCTGACCTTTTTTCTCTTTGTCTCTTTTCCTGTGAGATGACTTATTAATTAGGTCAATGTCTGGTCCTTACCCACCCTCCTTATTCTTAAGTGTCTTAATAAAACTAGATTTAAAATTATTCCCATCAATCACTTCCGTTTCTAATTTCGACCATATCTATCGCCTCTCTCTCTCTCTCTCTCTCTCCCCTCTCTCCTCTCTCTCTCTCACCCAACATCAACTTAAAACTACCCATCAAAAGTGTCTTAAAATAATATGTAAATTTATAACCATTTTTAATGCTTTGAAATGTGATCAGAGGAATCAGGAAAAATATCTTCCTGATGAAATAAAATATAATCAATTGACCCTTAATGTTATCTCTTTTCTAATTAAATTAATTAATTAATTAATATATATATATATATATATATATATATATATATATATATATATATATATAAATTAATTAATTAATATATATATATATATATATATATATATATATATAGGAGGCACGGTGTGGAGTAATGGATAGCGACTTGGATTGAGGAATCACAGTAATGTTCATGTAATGAATTTCAGTCGAATCCAATACATTCACTTACGTGCTAATACCCTTGGGAAAGGTGTGAATCCTCCTCTTCTTCTTCTTTGCTATGGGTAAATAGCAGGACAGACTGGGTTCTATAGCCTTGGATGGCAACTGGTCTAGGAGAAGGACAACTCTGAATTCAAAACCCGTGGAGGGTCATTTGGGGAACTTGTGGCACGTAGTGCACCAGGTCTCTGTAATCGGCCCTTCAAAAGGTGTGGCTGGTCTTGGACGAAACCTTCACCACGATAATCAAATCTCTTGTGCTGTTGTAGGGCTGTCGGTTTCCTGGGAACTGATCTGTTTGACCTATATATATATATATATATATATATATATATATATATATAAAGACATTTTTATGTTTAACGTTCTTTTTTATAGATACAAGTATTTAAGTAAATGCTCTGTTTATAATAAACAGTATTAAATAACCGTGGATCTTCCATTTAATGTGGCATACTGCCTTAGGAGTTGTTTATTATATATATATATATATATATATATATATATATATATGTAATAAAATCAAATATCACCCATATGGGGAATAACCTTATTTCAACCGATAAAAAAATAATATTCGAAGGTCTTATTCAACCCCGGAATAGACAGAGTTTGTATCTGAAATGGAAATGTAACTGGAAAAGCTACAAAAAAAACAACCGTCGACAAACTAATACAGAATTAAAATAGTTCAAGGATTCAGTCAGACGAAAGGCACGAAGCTGTGGTCAGGGGAGGGTGGAGGTGTTAGCCTTAAAGGGAAGAGGTTTTATAAATTTAATCCCGGATATTAACCTTTTGACATTAAATTGGGGTTATCTTAATTTGAAACAAAGAGAGGAATAAAAAGAGATTTTGAAAGACCATAAAATATATAGATAAAGTTATATTTAAAAATACAAAATCATTTTATTTTTTCGTCGGTTGAAATAAGCTTATTCTCCATATGAATTGATTTTGGATTTCATTGTATATATATATATATATATATATATATATATATATATATATATATATATAAGGTCTGTTTTTCCTTAAATTATATATATATATATATATATATATATATATATATATATATATATATATATATATATAATTTAAAAAAAAAACAGACCACTTTAAGGCTCCATTAGTTATAATTTATTTCACCAGAGAATTTTATTTTTCTCTAGATCTTCAGACTTCACTTTCAAAGGTGAAACGAAAAATGAATTTCAAATTTACAGTTTTGACGGGCAGTATTAAGCTTATATAAGTTGAAGGTGGTGAGGAATAGTGTGAGAGACATGGTTGAGTTTAGAGAGGGAAGGGAGAGTTTTAAAATTTATTTTTATTTTATTACAATACTTAATATTGAGTAGGAAGAGGAGGTAAGGATCAGACATTGACCTATTTAATCGGTCAACTCAACGGAAATGATATGGGAAAAAGGAAGAAAAGAGGAAAAGGAAAAAAGGGGGAAGTAAAGAGATAAGATATAAGAGATGTACGTAGGGTTTTTGGAGGAAGAAGAGGGGAGGTATACCTTTAGCAATTTAGATAAACACAGATATTAACGTTTGATAGTAATTTAAATGTTGAAAACCTCCACAAAGAAATTAAATTTAATGCTTGTTAGCAATTTAAATATTTAACTTCTCGACAAATAAGTTAGGTATTTAATATAAGCCGAATATTATTCTAATAAACAAAAATAAAAAAAAATAAAAATTTACTAATATTAATAATTTAATATTGTGAATGACTGTTAAGGTAAAATCTTTATCAATTAGAGTCTAATTCATGAATTTAATTTGTAGCTACTTTTAGATGGGTAATATTTCTTAAAGTTTAGGTTTCAAATCAAGATGGAGTAATATTTGAAGGTAATATTAAATTATTTCATTGTTTTTTCATATACACACCACAGATTTTCGTTACTTAAATATATATATATATATATATATATACTCACACACACACACACACACACATATATATATATATATATATATATATATATGAACTTTATTTCAATTCTTCATGAACTTCCAGTCCTTAGCTATGTTTAATTAATGATGAACATGTCATTTTCGTTTATGATCGATTACATCACGATTCTTCTGTTAAGCTTGGAGAGTAATTATACATTATTATTGCTCAAAGTAGAGTCCAATATTCTTATAAAAACCTAAGAGAATTCCAGTAAGATATCTTTAATCATTTCTAAGATACAACAGTTCAAAGTTTAATCTAAGAATTAGAAAATTTTCCTGTTACAGAATTGGAACAATTTTCCTGTTAGACTTGGTATATATAATAAAATACAGTTTTAATGTATGCTAAATTTATTGCTTAAAATGATCAATACCAATATCGGATTTATCACATTTACTATATATATATATATATATATATATATATATATATATGTGTGTGTGTGTGTGTGTGTGTGTGTGTGTGTGTGTGTGTGTGTGTGTAAGGTTTTCTTGTATTATTTCTTCTTTAGCTTAACTTTCTTATCTTTCTTTCGAATTTATTGATCTATCTGTATTTTCTCCGTGCGAAACAGTGAAATCAGTCTTATTTGTCATGCAATATCGTTTACAACCCTATCAAGAAAATAAGACGGTATTTTTTATTGAACGCTTTGCTAATATAACTGCCTTTCTTTTTTTTTCTTTTTTTCTTTTTTTTCTTTCTCTATTTTTACTTAAGAAAAAAGTTATTATGACTTCTCCAACGGTGCGCCGTGTTTTCCTAACGTCCGCTTCCAGCTACTCCACATTCAAAGGCAAACAACGTTCGATTAGATCCCCCGGTCGTCTGCTTCAGTAGATCTTTCTTATTGTTTACTCTCCACCATTTATAGATTGACTTCTGATCACACGCTGTGTATTTACCCTCAGTAAGAAAATAACAATCACATTGCTTTGCGCAACTGTCCCGTACATATAATTTTGAAGTCAAACCCGGTTTTGTCATAACTTTAAGCCTGATTCCGGTTTGGTTCGTTCCAAAATCATCCAGCAACACTGTCCGTTGCCTCTGGCCATGGCTGTAAACATTGAGTTGAACAGCGTTGGAACACAACTGAGGACATTGTGGTTTCTCGTGAAGAAAATCAGCACGAATGGTAATCTCTATCGGCTTCCAGTCCGATGTACAGTTGATGGAATCGCAAAACGTTTCCAAGTTCGGACCTTCATCATCGTCGCAGACTCGAAGCGTCGGCCTGCAGACGCCTGCCTTGCGATCGCATTCAAGATATTTAGAAACGCATCCGTTATCACCGTTTGTCGTAGAACAGGTCGGCCGGGCTGCGTATCGAACAATATGCTTACCGAGAAGAAAGCTGGCGTTCAAAGCCCCGCCAATTGTTAACGGCATTAGACCCAAGTTTCTATGAAGAGGATAAACGCTACTTTCAGGATAAGTGCTCAAGATACTTTGTCCGTCGTTGGTATTCCTTTCGATGAATTGCTGCCAAATCAAATCGTAAAAACAGTGAAGGACCCAGAAGACAGGGTCACTTGGAGAAACGCGGGGATCTTGCATATCGCCACCGACAAAGGCGTGGCTACTATTGTGAACAAATTCCAGATGTCTATAAGGGGAATCAGCGATTTCTTCAATCGTACTTTCAGAGGGAAGATAATCACTTTCACCCAGGTACCTGGTGACGTAACCACTGTCATGAGACCAATTGTTGAAAAAACCTGCAAATAAATTACTTATATATTTATATATGTCAGACTTTTATGTGCATTTCATATGTAGGTAAGTCTTATCTAATAGGTAGGGTACAGTTCGAGTGGTTTCTCTGATAGAAATATTAAAAAGAAAATAAGTTCGATCCTTGTTCTGATCGCATTTTTCGTTAATTACCTCTCGATCTAGGCCCGTTGAAATTAAGACGACTTTAAACGACTTTAGAATCTCCTGCATCTCTTCTGGACGGTCTCCTTGTTTATGTTGGTGAATGCTGTCATAATTAGTTCATCTTTGATGTTACAAAGCGTTTTCTTGGTCTCTCGTTCAACTGCTCCCCTTTTGTTCCCCTTTCGCTTGCTAATCCCGCATCTAAATTCCATTTACATCGCAAGAGAGGTTAGGTTCCGGGCATGAAATAAAGTAAATAGACGGACAATTTTTAGTGGTGAAATATTTTCTTCCACTGCACCTGGCTTTATATTCATAAATCGATTCTGTTAGAGAAAAAGATCAATGAACAAGTTGTCTATTTTCACCAATAGCAATTTTCTGTACCAATTGTATAGACTGCGATGGATAAATTGACGTAACAAATTACGTAAAATGTAAATAACAATCATAGCAACATCTGCAACATTTGTCAACAAGAGAAATTAGCTATAACATTTCCAGAAAAAAAAAACTAAAAACATTTTAAACCAGAGAACGGAAATTATATCCCGTTGTATGCATACTAAAAAGTTCCTTTTTAGATCATTTGAAGTCGGATAAAAAAAAAAATTATGTATATTTCATTTAATCCCCCCCACCGATACATTACCAATTCGCTCGATTTTCCCCTCCTACTCCTCCTCCTTCTCCTCATCTTCCAAAAATATCAATATCGCATACTGAAAGTATAAATGAGGAGGCGAAAAATATCACACCCAAATTATTATTTTTAAGACATTTTTTTATGTTTATACGTTCTTTTTAAATTTTTAATTGTCGGACTTTGCCCATTTCCTAATGTGTGACATCATTTGTTTACATTTGGATACGCATCGAGCAGATATGAATGTACGAAAGAAGAGCATGGAGAATTGTAGTTTAAAAACAGTAAAATCGACCTTGCAAACCGAAACGCTCCTGTGTGGCTAAATCGGTAAAAGCACGTCAGGCTATATGGCTGTTCCGTATAGGATACGGGTTCAATTCCTGTCGTAGGACGCATATTTTCTATGAGAATTTCTCGGACATTCAGGCCGGTAAATATCGTTAATACTGTTTATTAAAAACAGAGCATTTATTTGAATAATTGTATCTATAAAAAAAATGTATAAACATTAAAAAAATGTCTTCAAAAATAATTGTCGGACTTTGCCTATTTCATAATAAATATGTATTTATAAAATACAGCATGAAAAAAACTTTTATCCATCTTATCTGAAAACGGCCTGCTTGAGGCTTTGTACATTGATGGCTTCGTAAATATGAGAGCTGAACAAATTGACATGATTTTACATTGCCGTAAATCAATTTTATTCCTCATATGGTTCATTTGATGATGCTGAGGTTTCAGAATTAATAAGCCTACATATTTTATATGAAATCAACTAAAATTGATCTGGATATATAAAACTCTATATATCGTTTTCCTACATATAAGTATATGGTATAAACTGGATTATTCAACTGAAATATGTCAGCCGAACGACTAGTCAAGGACATATACAGTTTCGATTAATAGGATCTTATATAGGATAAATATATATATATATATATATATATATATATATATATATATATGTGTGTGTGTGTGTGTGTGTGTGTCTGTGTGTGTGTGTGAGATAATATATATATATATGATAAATATATATATGTGATAAATATAAATATGTGATAAATATATATATATGTGATAAATATATATATGTAACAAAATATATATATATATATATATAAATATGATGAATATATATGTGATAAATATATAAATATGTATATATATATGTGTGTGTAACTATATATATGTGATAAATACATATATGTGATAAATATATATATATATGTGATAAATATATATATATGTGTGTGTGTGTGTGTGTGTGTGATAAATATATTGGGCAATTTGGAAAATTTTGACTTTAACGTGTTTCCACGATAAACCAATGCTTTCAGAAATAGATTTTTTTTACTAAAGCACAAAATCTATATTAGTGAGGTAAAACATAATTAACGTTAATTAATAAATAAAATTATTTTACTGTTTACACCTATTCAGAGAGTAAATTGCTAATTTAGTTATTTTCTGTCTCTGTGAAGTAGACTCATCTAGCAATTTACACAAATATTCAAGGGTCTCTCTCTCTCTCTCTCTTTCACTTTCTCTCTCTCTCTCCCTATCAGACACACACACACACACACACACACACACACACACACATATATATATATATATATATATATATATATATATATATATATATATGCCCAAGTATATAATTAGTGTATACGGAATGAATTCCAATAACCAACAATTACTATTCTTAAAAGAGTGCTCAATACAAAGTAGAGCAGATATAATTATTTTTATAAAAAAAAAAAATTATAACATAAATATGTTATAAAATCACTACAAAAGTAGCCATTTTGTTTCAACACCCTCGGTGTCTTATCAAGTGATGATGTTGAAGATATGTGATTTTATAACATATTTATATTATAATTTTTTTTATAAAAATAATTATATATATATATATATATATATATATATATATATTAAGCGTTTCATCCCAAGCAAGGCGGGAAGTTTCTAGCACACAAGGGGTTACAGAGACTTGGATCGAGAGCAAATAGGAGTGATAGAGGAAAGGATGAAGAGAAGGATAGGGGATAGATCAAGGCATCTGGAGACGTCGATTGACATTACATTTGAATAGTTGGAGATTATAGCTATCAGGGAAACAGGAAAAGGGGAGCGAGTTCCACACGCGAAAGATGCGAGACAGGAAGCTATTGGAGTAGAAGAGACGGCTACATTTAACAGTTTCGGGAGTGAAAGGGTGAGAGCGAGATGCCAGCCTAGTCGAACGCTTAAATTTATGAAGTCTGGAAACCAGAGAAAGCAGCTCATCGGAGCAGTTACCGTGAAAGTATTTGTGAAAAAGACAGATGATAAAAAATTTCGTTCCTCGTCGTATTGATAGACAGAATAATAATACATTTATTACCTCGCCTTCAACTAGCATAAACAAGTGCACTTTCAGCTATAAATGTGAATGGCCCAACGACGACAAAATAGCGATTATACGCAACTTAATAAACCGTGAAAAATCAAAACCTTGAACAAGAAAGACTTTCTATAGTGAATTAAAACATATTAAACAAAACCATATTAAAAATGACAATCCTAATTACATTATTGATGAACAAATTAGACGATATATTGGGAATATAAACATAAGTAAAAATGAATACAATACATCATCAAATAACTCTAAACGTATCAAATTACTATATCGTAATCAAATGTATTCCAACTATAAGCAGGAAGAAAAAATTCTGAAAAAATAAAATGAATCATATACTGTATTAAATTTAACAATATTTTAATTAAAAAATTCTGTTTGAAGAAAGTTAAAATGAAACAACTTACTGTATAAACGATACTTTTTTTAAAAATCTTATTCACTTAAATCGGACGGACGCACCACGCAATCACATAGAGAGGTGGAAAGAGAGAAAGGTGGAAAGAAACTTAAATAATTGTTATGCGCTTGACCGACAACGTACCACGCAAGCACGAATCACAGATTTTTAGCATTATATAGATAGATAAGTTTTGAAATGTCCGAACAAGAGATGCGCAATTAATGAAGGCAATTAAACATATAAGCTTCGGATGTCCCCAACGAGAGATTCGCAATTAATAAAGGCAATTAAACATATAAGCTTCGGATGTCCCCAACGAGAGATTCGCAATTAATAAAGGCAATTAAACATATAATCTTCGGATATCCGAACGGAGATTCGCAATTAATGAAGGCAATTAAACATACAAGCTTCGGATGTCCGAATGAGAGATGCGCAATTAATAAAGGTAATTAAACATATAAACTTCGGATGTCTCCAACGAGAGATTCGCAATTAATGAAGGCAATTAAACATATAAGCTTCGGATGTCCCCAACGAGAGATTCGCAATTAATGAAGGCAATTAAACATATAAGCTTCGGATGTCCCCAACGAGAGATGCGCAATTAATAAAGGCAATTAAACATATAAGCTTCGGATGTCCCCAACGTGAGATGCGCAATTAATAAAGGCAATTAAACATATAAGTTTCGGATGTCCGAACAAGAGATGCACAATTAATGAAAGCAATTAAACATACAAGCTTCCGATGTCCGAACGAGAGATGCGCAATTAATGAAAGCAATTAAACATATCTTCGCTGTGAAGACTTTCGTGGTTAAACGAGCTAAAGTACCCAAAACTCAAAGGTAGTTCCCACAGTCTAAGGAGCACTAAACGGTAACCACTCTCAAAAATATCGTTAGTCATCATTTCTATTGTTATAAATCTGGGGATGTCTATTCAAATAAATGTATTTACTACATATAATGTTTATACTAATCCATTTGTGTGTGATATTTAATATATCAGATAATTTCAAGAATTCTTGTGCGAAGGAGT